TTTAGATAATGATTCAACAGAAATTTCAAATATGTGACAAAACTTTACATAAAGTTCTGCGTCATTTGGTATACTTCTTAGAATTTCACAAGAGATATTTGAGGGTGTGGACGTGGGTATGTGTAGATGAAGATATACCATTCACTCACACCTATCTCGTCAAATCACACTATTTTCATGTAGAAATCTTGAGAAAAAAAGTGAATGTCAAATGAGAATGACCTGTATGACGCAATAGTCAAAAAATCAATAAGAATCCGTTGTCTATTTGAAGTCATCTGATTTCTGTGAAAAGTAAAACTGAGTCGCTCAAGAGACAAAACGTTTCTTACATTGCTTATGCATGGCTCCACTGGATATTGTTTGATAGAATTAAATGATCATATATTATATTTCATCTTGCAATACTCTATGTCTATTTAATTCACACTGCGCCAATCTCAATACGCAGATTTGTAAAATTCATCATGGATTACAAAGGATATTATTAGAATTTCAATTCTAAATAATTGAAAACGATTACTGTCCATTTCAAAATATAGTGTGCTCCACTGTTTTTCGAATAACTCAAGAATGCAATTAGCTAGAGAGCTGCGGTTTTCACCAATCGACAGGGCACGTTAGGGGACACAAGTCTATAAAAAAAACCAAGGACCGATCTTACTTTGAAGATGCGGCATTTTCTGAATCCTTCTAAAAGCTGACTGTATATGAAATATTCAGGAACTGTAGGGTACAACCACTTCACTGAATCTTTGAGAAGATTTGAAAATATGTTCTATACAATATCTTTCAAACTGACTGGGTATGTATATAGTTACGTAACGCTTATTTATCTATATTGGTCTATCATATTGAATCGTAGAGAGGAACACTGTCTCACAAATTTGTATTGAATAAGTCGTATTTTCTTTTCTTTACATTTCTCTAATTTGCACATGAAGATAATCGTGCTATCATTTTTGTCTGGTTCAACCTATACGAAAAAGAGAAGACTCCATAACTGTCTCTAACAAGTATTTATTGTAAGACACGGGTATTTCTTTTTAACTGCAATTTTTGTGATCAAAATTTCAATTAGTTAACGATGCCAACAGGAAGAGAATTTTCCGAAGATTTGAAACAAATGATGTTTCGCGTTATTTTGTTCGTGCAAAATGAAAAAAATGGCCCAACAATTCCATTATATAATGTCAATGAACGACTCAATGCAATGTTAGGAATATTAAAACAATCCATATTGAATTTGAAGAAAGAGATGAAAGAATTGCAGCGTCGATATAATGATGAAGAAGAACCTGAAGAAAGTCCAACAAAAACAGCAACATCGTTATCTATTAAGCAACCACATCGAAAACAGACTTGGTCATCCTCACCATTAAGAGTAAATGTCAACGTTCCAGCGCCACTTTCTCCGAAGAAAAAAGGGCATAGTGGAAGGAAGGGTATTCAATTGAGTGAATATGCAGAAGACATGATCAGACTTCAGTTTCATGAGATACTATCGAAAAAAGAATATCCAACAACGGCTAAATTATTGTCATATTTGAAATCGAATTGTTCTGATTTTCCGGTCATTTCAGAAACAACACTATGGCGACATATGAAAAGGGTATGTGTAGTGTGAATTAATGAGAATTAAGGATATAAACTATTTCGTCTGATTTTAGCTTGGGTTTGCGTATAAAAAGACAGCCAATGTCAAATTACCCTTAGATGATATCAGTTTCGTAGCTGCACGTGCAAAATACTTTCGGATATTGGATGAACTTCGTGCAGATAATGCGATAATATTTTATCAAGATGAAACATGGAGCAATGTTGGTGATGAAAAGAGAAGTATTTGGATAGCCGAAGACGGCAGTGGCCGGTTAAAAAAGTCAGATACGAAAGGTACAAGTAGAGAGATGATCATACGATTCGCATATCATACTATTTAATCAATCTTTTTCAGGTAAAAGAATAGCGATAAATGGAATTATTAACGAAAAGGGATTTCATCTTGGTTCAATGGAAATATTCACATGTGACGCTGAGCGTACCATGGATGGAAGACATTTTATTAATTGGATAAGGGAAACTTGTTTCAAACTGAGAAAACAATATGGTATTTGATGAACTATTCAAAATTTCAATTGATAATGTTCTAGTTCACTGTTTCTTAGGTAAAACTCCATGTATATGTCTTATCATTGACAATGCCTCTTGGCACAATCAACAAACCGATGAATCGAAATTGCCGACACGCGCATCCAGAAAAAAGGCAATTGAAGACTGGTTGGATCAACGTGGCATTGTGTATGATTCGTCGCTAACGAAAGCCGAACTACTTGAGATAGTTGTTAAATTCGCCCCTCCACGACAATATCAGATAAATAATATTAAAACACTGTGAGCAAGTACGATATGCTATTTGTTGTTTGAAGGTGGACGAAGCTGCTAAACAATTTGACGTTGAAATCTTACGATTACCCGTTAGACACGCTGTATTGAATCCGATAGAATTAGCTTCGGCTGGGGTAAAGAATTATATACGTGATAATAATACAAAATTTCGACTCGTTGATATTTATAATTTGGCAATGGAATATTTGGCAGCCGTCGACGAATCGTTAGCAACCAGCTACTTTGAAAAAATCAGAAGATATGAAAATACATTCAAGACGGCAGATAAATATGTTCAAGAAGTGGTTGAAACAACACTTGAAGAGAGTGATGATCTAGAAACATCCGATGACAATAGTAGTGATGATGTATCGCTTAATGATTCAGAAGACTTAGATAACAATGAAAATTCGGATGCATAAATGTTTTGCTCATATATTTCGCTTCTACTTTGTTTTTGAATAATAGAGAGAATATGAAACGTCGTAAATCAGCAGTCATCGCTTAGATTGAAAAAACTGTGACACTTTCAAAGTAAGATCAGTCCTTGTTTTTTTTATGGACTTGTGTCCCCTAACGTGCTCTATCGATTGGTGAAAACCGCAGCTCTCTAGCTAATTGCATTCTTGAGTTATTCGAAAAACAGTGGAGCACACTATATTTTGAAATGGACAGTAATCACTTTCTACAATACTAAATACAAGATAACGCTCGTCGTTACGACTCGCTTGACCCTCGACTGAACTCTTTCTATTCATCTTGGGAATTATTGTCAAATAATTCGCCGATGTATGCGATGCTACTGATGCTACAATAACATTTGATTCTAACTAATTCTTTATTTTTTCAAAATAATGTTTATTGTTGAAACTGTAACATTCATTGTTCATCATGCATGTTCAAAAGATCAGAAAAATGTAGGACTGCTGCCCCTCGATTGATTAATTTTACACTCATATCTGTGAAATATCTCACGAGCAATAGATCACTACCTGCTAGTCGTTAGCTTCCTGCTCATAGATTGGTTTCGATACATCTACAAACAAATGATTTACCTGTAAATAAGAGACGTTGACACATATCTCGCAGAAAACTATTTGATTTATAGCAAAATAATTCTTGATAAGAATGCTAACGAGAAGTTTTCGTCGTTAACTATCGGCTATAACTTCAATTTCAAGATATTTCTAAATGTTCCGCGTCATATCGAAATTTCTGCATATCACACTCTTAATGCTTTCACTATTAATTACAAAAGCAGGAAAGTAGAAATAGTTAAATGAACAAGGATTGGATATTGTAAAAAAAAATGCGTGCCTTAAATAAATTATACAGGCCAGCGACTAGTCGATCGTCGGCAGCCCTCTGAGGTGCCACTCACGGCTAGTCGCTACCATGTTTACATCTCCTATACCAACTAATCGTCCAATTCAGATTGCAATTCAATCAACTCTCATGGGACACTTTACGAAAGGCTATTCTATTACTATAAAAAAAACTTCTCAATGAGAAATTTCAAACTAGATCTATTTAAAGAATGCCTTTGAGTAAAGTAACAAATGTCCAAGTTAACTAAGTGTTACCGTAGTATTTAATTGCTTCTTCTCTTTTATAACCAACGTTTAATGATATTCCACAAATGCATATAAATCACTTCGCACTCTAATCCACAACGTTTATATACAATTTGTTCAGTAATATTATTTGACGTTCAATTTCTATCGTTGCCGTTTGCGAAACAAGCCTTTAATGTTATATGAGTGTCTCAGTTATTTTTAGACTGGTTTTCAAAGCGATTATCTTTTCAATTTAGATCACGAAACATCCGCATTTTTTATCCACATAGAAGATATGTTAATACAAATGCGCTAACACATGCATTTCGTCAAATGCATGTTCAAGATGTTTCACTTCTGCAGAAAAGTTTTTTCTCGAAACTGATTTAGAGAAAAATTTGCTAGTTTTTGTCGCTTTTGCATATGATACCAATTGATTGAACCACAAAGATAGGCTATTTTTCTATGAACTACGACACTCTGCGAAGCTCACCTCCGATTAATGGTACAGACCAGCAACTACTCCTTCGTCGGCACCTCTCCGGGGCGTCACTCATGGCTAGCCGCTTTCATAGTGACGTCTACTTCTCCGGTCCATCATCTTCTGTTTACACTTAGAGTCTAGTCGATTTATGTTTCACTCATTGAAACAAATAGTTGTACTTATGACAGAAGATATGCAGACTAGAGAATTTCAAACACAAGGACACACAGCAACAGAAAAATTCATTTTATTTCATTCAATTTTGCTTGAGACAGTGTGAATATAAATTCTTTGCGTGCTGCTTTCTGTCTAATGTACTATTCAGATATAGTGCCCATACAGAAAAACTGTTTTCATACTTAACTTGAAAATATTTTTTTAGTTTTTTGCCGGTTCCGATCCTTACTGAAGCTCATCAAATTCAGATTCTTGGCGTTTTTCTGATCAATCCTAAATAAAAATAATTTCTGACAACCACTTTGTAGCTAAGACTATTCTCTTTCTAACCATATAAACAGAAAATAATTTCACTTTGGATCTACCGATCAAATCTTGCAAAAACTATCTAAACATACACTTTGGCGATTTATGTCCCGACAGATTAATTCAATCTACTAAAGCCAATTTAAAGGCAAACGCGAATTTACTTTTAATATTCGATAGACCAAAGAGCGAGAAATCTTGTAAGAAAAAAGTTATATCAGTGTAACTTGAGAAAAGTCAGAAACGTTTTTTGTGTATATTAAACAAGAAAATAATGCAGTAAT